AAACCCAGCCCATTACTTGGCGGGTTGGGCCGGGTTGGGCCGGGTTTCGTGGGCTGGGCCTAACAAGTCTACTAGACTATCTTTAGAATATGCTCTCTTTTCTTAAAAAGATTAAAAGTAGGTCTATTTCTTATTATTAGCTCTTATATAAGGTAGAGTAGAAGAAATATTATATATACTCTCTAGTAAAATAGTAATCCTTTACTTAATTAGTTTTATTAAGCTTTAATTTATTGATTAGCAGTACTTGTACTATAGATATAGTAATTAAAAATCTAGACTTCAGGATATCTTGATTACTGTAGCTTATATTAAGCTTCTGCTAGTAAGATTATCTCTGTATCTTAATCTGATTATATAAAGTAAGGCTGTTATTTTATAACTTTAATAATCTCCAGAAACTACTGGAGTACACTAACTGCTATATAAGAGGTAATACTAATATAGATCCAGATAATATAGTAGAAGTAGATATTAATTATAGTATAAATCTTAATTCTATATAGTATAAGCTTAAGATATCTATCTATAGACTAGATAAAGTTAAGACCAGATATAATATAGACACTATATTTCTATTAAAGATTTTATAGATATTATTATACAGCGGCAGATACTAGTTCTTGATATAATAAGTAAAGTTAATTCCTAGAGCTATTAGCTATAGATATACTTAGGTTTTATACTACTTATCTAGCTATTAAATAGTCTTTGCTCTGGAAATAAGTATAAAGCAAGGTCTTTCTATATTCTTTAATCTGACCCTAATCAAGCTCTGTATAAAGCTACTTTAGAACTGCTTCTATCTATACCTAAGCAGTTATAGGATTCTTGATATATTAATATAATTCTAGCTTATAGCAGAGATACAGGAGTATATAAGCTTTAATCTAAAAGCTATTCTGCTATAGAACTCTAAGAAGCTTATCTTCTTCAAGCCTAATCTAATAAAAAAGAACCTTAATCCAAGTATATAGAACTTGATTAGTTCCTACTGTACAATTCTGCTTTTGAATTTCCCAGCTCTTAAGTCATGTACAGAGTGTGCATTCAGAAATAGTAAGATTATAAGATCTAGAGAGATTCTCTATTATAGAGTTATAGGGTATATTATTAGTATAAAGATTAATAATCTCAGTCTTATAAGGCCCAAGATCAATAGCTGAACGAGGCATGGCTCATACAATACTTGAAAATAGTATCCAGAAATAACCAAGAAGGCCATATACACCGCTACTTTGGGAGGTTATGATAAATCTAAGCAAGGCGGATAACTAGGCGGTATACACATGCTTTACGGAAATTTTTGTTGTTGCAGTTTTGTCTTAAGGGTCTGCCGTAATTAGTAATTCGGAATGCTTACTTATCATCGAAAGGTAAACCCTAAAAAGCTTACGGGAAAGGACTCATGTCTATAGAGCTGGATTGCTGAGCAACGAATGGCGAGGCGGCTGTTTAACACGGGGTAAGAAAGCCCCTGCTTGCAGGAAAATGCGCACAATCCTGTATTTTAAATGTTTGAACCAACTTTCTTTTGGGTGCAATTACTCGGGCTTTGACCAATCCAATTTGACCGACATTCCCCTTCCTCAAAGTATGACATCAATCGTCCTTGCTTGTGTACATACTTGTTGGATAACGGAATCCAGAATTCGGTTGTAGATCACAAGCACTATTTTCACCCATATGGCAGACAATATGGTTACCGGCAGATTAAAGCTACACATGTTATTAGTTAGGTTAATGATTACCTGCCCGAATTAACGTCATTGGACAGACAGCATTGTCCGCGTCCCAAATGAGGGGTTGATTAGTATGTACTCCGGTCTCCAGCTATCTCAGCGCTTCTGTTTGACTGCTGATGGCTCACTTTCAATGAGCACCTAGTATGTATGCAAACAAGCGGTTAGATTCTCCCACATGTAAATTTTTAGATATTGATTCTAAAAAGACGGGCCCTATGACTGTAGGAAGATGAGACAAGGATCTGCCGTGATTAGACCTAGACTTTCTGTGCCTCTGGCTTGCTTCCTGGTTACGTTAGGCGAGTACCGAGAGGTAGTGGGGACAATTGGTTGATCGTCAGGGTGGATAAGTGACCGCACTGTTCAACTTTGGACGCTGGATAAGCAACAAGCTTCCCCTCGAGTTGGGCCACTTAAGGGATGGTTCCGTCATGATTTCTAGCTCCGCATTGCTTGATGCACCCTCTCTTCTGGGTTGCACTACGCTGGTCCTTTTTCGACATACAACCTGCGAATCCTAGGTACTTCTGCGATTTGCAAATCTCTATAAGAGGAGATCAGACCCGTTATTCCTCACATAATCGCATTTAGCAAACGAATACGAGTGCAAACAACTGCAGAAACGGCGACATCCACAATGCCCTACAGAGAGATATTGACTTGTGTATCGCCTGTCTTGCTTATGATAACCGTTTTATTGGCGCGATTGATAGCGAACCAGGACGAGAAATCATTCCAGCATTGTAGATTAATGACTGCTCAGATGCTATTACGTTTGCGCTGTCCCTACCCAGGATTAAGGCCGATATATTGGCACCTGGGGCAGATCATCCAGCGGAGGTCATGTTCTCACTGTTGGCGGCGTTAAACGCCGGGCTAAAGCTGTAATAAAGCTGTAATCAGTCAGGTGTAAAATTTCCTCTTACTACGACTATAATCAACGGGCATAATAGGTGCGCGTCTAACATTCGCTTGTCTGGGCAGACCCTTGACCAGTGGATGAGAGAACTTCTATCGTATGCACAGGGCAGATTTTGTTCCAACGTTGAACATGCTATTTGCGGACGATGAGCTTCGAATTATTTCCGAAGCATGGGTTATGACAAAGGGAGGGTTCGTCCTGCTGACGAGCTCAATGTGAAATATAGATCTCCCTGCTGTGCAAAGGGAGACAAGCCAGGTTGGATACCTGTTATAGACAAAGGCCCTCACGCACTATCTGTCCTTCCTTTAGAGGAAAGTTACAAATGGCTATATTCAGGCAGGATCGTTGGGATGGAAGAATGATGTAAGCATAAAGAGGTATTGTTCATGTCTTGTACCTTGCTAAGTTGTGGGTGGATGCGGCTCTATATCAAATAGCTTTGAGGCATTCTGAGCATATGAACCTAGAGCCTATACCCAGCGCATCTCACCTACTCCGTTACTGATGATCGTCATGGACACCGATCTTGTCGCACCTTCTGACATTGTCTTGGATGCCTTTTCCCGAGTAAAGGAGCCAAAAGGATTGCATATAACCCCGGCAGGGCATTTTGAAATATGCGACGGGCCCTTTTTCCAGCAAAATTTCCCTGCTCAGGCAAAGTCCCTGCAAGACCACATTTTGGAGTAGGCGCTGAGGCTAGCGCAGGATGCGCCTTACCCTCTTCTTTCGCTTTCGCAGATTTCATCGAATGGGTTCGACAGAAGTCACGCTGGCCGCTGACGGATTCACTTGATTTTCAAACACCTAAAATGTTAACTTCGCAGCTGAACCTGATTGCCCAAATCATCTACTACTTAGTGGTTCGCGATATTACAGGCTCAGTTATGTGCTCCATATACATAAGACAATCACCATTTTCAGTCAGTATACGCGCGCAGAAAAATGCCTTACTTCCCGGACGCCAAATCAGTTTGTGGCAAAAGAAATGTTCTCAAGAACTCCTTTGCATTGGAAAGTCGGCTGTCTACACAAGGTAACCAAATCCGGAACAAGCTTCATTATCCAGTCCAAAAGAAGAGCAAACTAAAAGGCAAACTTACTTTCAACACTGCAATATTCATGGAATAGCTCTACCTACCCTCACACCGTTTTTACGGCTTGCATTAAGATCCACTGAACAAACTCTTCACAGACTGGCGTAAAAATAATGCTTGCCTACACAGACAAGATTTTGCTGCATCAAGTGTAGACTCAACCAGAGGGTTGCTGCTGCTGCACTAACGCTGCCGCTCGTTTCAAATCTTCGACTCCCTTCAGCACATTCCTTGGCTGCCCATCGTAGTGCACCAATCTCATCCATGCACCCAGAGACTTGATGCGACCCGGATGGATTCTATCCAGAAGAGCCATATCTCTGCGTTCAGCAAGGCCTTCTCCCCAGTATCTCCACCAAGCCGAAAAATTTCGGCGCCATGACATAGTTGCTTCATCTTTGATAGCATTTGGACCGGCAGCAAAATTCGCGGGGGCGTTCGGAAAAGGTTCAGCCATGGGTAGGTACTCCTCAAGGGGTACGAACCTGTGTACTCCTTTCTTTCCTGTCACCTCCGTGAAAACGGCGGCTATGTCCGCAAAACTGACTTCATCTGTTGCAACTTTGAGGTCTAGCCCTGCGGACTTCTCGGGATTGTTCAACAGCCAAAGAGAATAATGTCCAATATCCTCCAGGGCTATGAGAGGTATTTTGCCGGATTCTGTCCGAGAAAAAATTATTTGTCAGACACAGGTGGATCCTGGATCCTTATTTAAACGTTCTGGCGGAGTAGAGACGTACTTGCCGGATTAGCCCAGACAAATATCCCATCAGGTTGCTGGGTAGGGACAAACATGCCATCCCAAAGCATGTTCATGTAAGGACCGGTGGTAAGCACGGAGCTTTTCATTCCATCCTGCCCCTGGGCCAGAATATATTCTGCCACTCTGCCCTTGGCGTCATTATGGCCCCAGTGGTAATTCTCATCCCATTTAGCATGCTTAAGGGCGAAGTCGGCGCAGGCATAGATGTAATGCTGCACCCCATGATATCTTGCGATTTCATATGCTCGACAGCCATAGAACAGCTCATTTTTCTCCCCAAGGGTGAAACCATCGGTGTTAACCCATGCTCCATAAACACCCTTGAAGGCTCTATGCAAATCTTCCTGGCTATCCTGTCGGCCTTCAACCACGGACACATTGGGCAGCTTCACAATTTCTTGCGCCCGAGCAGACTTTGCATCTCGAGTAAGGATCCGGACGGAAAATTGCTTGCTGGAGGAAAGGGCTATGATATAACAGTCAGGTATTAACGAGAACAAAACGATGGTTTAATACGCACCTTTGACAACTGGCAGGCCTTGGGCGCCGGTGCCGCCAATAACTAGAACTTCTCTCATAGTCTTTCCGGGAAGCGTTGGCAATTGTAGGAGCATGAGTTTATTCGAAGAAATAAATACGCTTCGCGATCTGGAGGATGCACTCTATGCCTTATATATTCGTTTTCCCTAATGGTTGGCCCCGCTGACGCGGATAAGTTTACTCATATCCGGCCAAACCGGTAGTATTACCAACTTGTAACTTCCAACACTTCCCAAACTCCGGTCGAAGTTTGTGTATGCTCAAGCCTTGTCCGAATATAGTATAGTCGAGTAAGTAGCAACGCGTCTGTGCATGAGATGAATCGGTCCTGTTGATTACTTGATCGGAGGATCAAATCAATCTCATTCCAAAGATCCTGGGAGTCGCTGTCCTCAATGACATAGGCATCGACAACCTTCCTGGGAAAATCGACAAAGCCCAGGCTCTCATCTCGGCATGATTATAAATCCGGTGCCCTGAGAGACTAGTTACATTTCTCCGTTTGAGTCCCATTAGAAACTCTGGATCTAAATAGGTGGAGTACGTCACTAATCATGACTTCGGGTAGGTTGAAAACTCACTTGTCTTCAAGATACCGGACCGGGTGGATTAGTGATCGCGTGCGAGTCCAATGACTGAACTTATTTCAAAATTCAGTGAACAATCTGAACCGGTCAGTGAGTGATTTGATGGAGATATATATCAAGCTCTCGTGTCGCAGGATATAAGATCGCCATCACGTTAAAAGGCTTGTTTTTCTAACATTCCATTACAATTATAACCAGCCGAACATTTGGGTCTGCTTATTTGTTGTCCGAATCAAAATGGCAAAGTGGAAGCATCTTCTTGATAATATACCCGTCGATCTCCCCAAAGATAAGCCTATCTTTATGCTCAACCTTCTCCGTTTCTACGACCAAGCGCACTATCCGGAAGGAAGCAAGCATTCTCCCTGCAGTGGCCAGGAGGCCTGGGTTGTCAGATATGTGACTGAATTTCGAAGACTTGCAACCGAAGCTGGGGGCTTTGAATTGATCTATCTTGGGCTTCCCGCATCAAAGATTGTCGGTGAAGACGGAGAAAAATGGGACGCGGTGGTGTTGGTCAAATACACGAACATCGACACCTTCCGCAAGACGCTCGGCAGTGACGACTACGCAGCAACCGCAGCGGAGCATCGTGATGCTGCGCTCAAGGATTGGAGACTAATTGCGTCGACCCAGGTTATCATTCCAGAGTGACGAAGTCCTTTGATCTGGATGCCTGGGTCACCATAGAGATACAGGCAGTGGAGAGTCGTACTCTTTTGGATTGGAAAGATCAACACCCGCGATTTGTTACATTGGCTTACTTGGGGTTTCGGTTTCCAGCCGCGGAATTTGTGGATGGATGCATTCGTCGAGATCAAGGAAGCTTTCGGATTGGAATCTCTATACTATTGATAGAGGGCCTGTTTACTTTGATCCTTCGCAAGCAAGTGACATGCAGTTCGGTTATAACCATGCAAACAACGGGGCAATCGATTTCCTTGAAGACCGAAACTTTCCACCCGCTTATAGACCACTTCATAGTGTACCTTTTGACTCTATCTGGCTGACGCCGCGCATAGTCGGATTCGTCTTGCGGGGGTACGGTAGTTATCTTTAGGTTCGCTTATGAGGACCCTAGTCTGAAGAAGTCATCGAACCAGTTGTTTCCAGGCCAGGCACGCAAGTTGTTAATCAGGAAGCACCCTAATCCCCATGCTTAATTGCACCGCAGGTGCGGTGCCTTTATCGCCCCCTGATTGGTCGGATTCCATGATCCTGCATGCTTTCGCTGCCCTGTGTGCGTGCCCCGACTGGCTGGACCCCTCCCTTCTCAGATGGCCCCTTGGTTGGAGTAAAATATATTCCAGAGTTCTTACTCTTCAATTCGATCAGATAAGTGCTTGATTTTCTCCGAAGAGTTGTTTTGAATTAGGTTTCCGGGGCCTACCATATCACGAAGAATGCTGCAAGTACATGATACGGAGGAAAAGCTTACAGATATATAGTTAGCAAATGTAACTGTATGTTAGGGGTAGTGAGCTGACGTGCTTGAATAGACCAGATAAAGGAAGAGGGAGCGGTATAATATAATAACTGCTGTAGGAAGTCCCAAGTAAGGTACTGTAGATCACTGAGTCCCAGGGCGACAGGAATAGCCTGGTCTTCATCCACGCCACGATATTTCGTCTATCCATAATGAGAGACAGCCACGAACCCGGTTGAGAAAAGAGGCGGCACAAGATAAAAAAAAGAGCTGGGCAATGACGGTGATAGAACGACAACAGCAGGACCAGGGTGGGATGGTTTGATGAAAGATGCCGCTGATTCTGGATGGGGACTGGTGAGGAAATAAATACCGACCGTGAGGGTTGTGCCCGCAGGTGGCAGTTGGAGGCTGTCCCCCTGTCCAAGGGTGCTCGCATGGGTATTGTTCCTAGAGGTTTTGGATTGCAAGGGATCCATCCATCTTTGCGAAATGAGGTCAGTGACCGTCCCGGCCCCCTTCAGAGCAGTCAACAATGGGCCACGGACCAGCACCTGCTCGAGGATGCACCGGTGGGCCACCTTGAGCGCCCGGGGATATGATGGGCCTGGTCTGGCTCTGGCAAACCTTCCCTCTATTATCTAGCAGGGTTACATAGCGAAGTCGATACAGGGGACCGGCTGACTCATGGGCATTTTGGGGGCCCATCGGGCTTTACGATCTGCCGTCATTTGACCACGGCCGTAGTTGCTCGCCAATTCCCCGCTAAGCCGTCGTTCTTAAAAAGCGGGTTCTTCCACCAGATCAATGGAGCACGAACCATTTCCCCTTCCACTCTTCAAACGGTGACCGGTTAGCGCCGTGAAATACCATGGCGAAAGTACCATCTCGCACGAGTATGAGTTCCCTTGCCGGAAGCTCTGGCTCTCGAACTTCCCACAACCGGGTGCGCATCGAGGAGCCCTCCGCTCCTGCTACTACGCAGCTCACCCGTCCCCGACGACGGAAGTCAGTGGTGAGTATTCCCTGACGCCATTAGGTAACTTTCATGGGGCCTCCAGCAGTGCTGACCACCTTGGCCCGTGGGGACAGACGCAACCCTCATCTCAGCCTGGCTCCCATTCACAAGCCCCGGATGATCCGACTGAAGCTCTGGAGAGCCACAGTGTGTGCCTTGAGACCGTGAAGGATCTCGAATGCGATCTACAGAAGGTGGAAAGTGACCTACAGAAGGTGGAAGCGGAACGAGATAAGCTGCGGGGGGAGAACCAATGTTTGAGGCAGCAGCTCTCGCAGGCACAGCACGCCCAGTCCGTCGGCCACACATGGGAGGACATACAGCGGGCCGTCCACGGAGCCCAAGAGGCCCTCAACACCTGCCACCAGCAACTCATTAGCTGTACGGCCAATGCGACCAATACGGGCGTACCGTCTGCCACCCTACCGGGATCAACAGCGGGACAGGATTCTCTGTGGGCGAACCAAGATGAGGGGGCTTGAGGTGTTGAATCCTCAGATGTTTTCTGAAGTTTAAGATTCGAGCAATGCAAAATCCAGAAATCGCCAACAATTCACGGTCATGTATTCAATATCGTGCTGGTTACCTCGTAGTCCTTAGGTTGATAATCCGAGAATGACCGGACACGTTGGGCGGAGTATCTGTGTGGGTGCTGGCGGGTGGGGGGCGGCACTCAAGGCTGGAAACCCCTGCGGCCCGATGCCGTCCCATCTAGGTTTCGAGCTTTTAAGGCCCGTTACATCAGGGCGGACATGGCATGTGGTCTGGAACCGCTCTGACCCTGTTTGATCATGGGCTACTGAAACTAGTCGTCTCAGTGACTCCATCGAAGCGGACGACAGCGATCAGCGGGTCTACCATTTGGCGCGGCTTGATGTGAAGCAGGAAGGAAGCCGTATTCGGTGGGTGACCGACTGCTCCCGTCTGACACAAGATCGCTGGCTTGTTGATACCTTGAGCAGAAGTGCCAGGATATCGGCACCTAATTGGGCCAAGAAGGCGTATGTTTATCCATCCAGGGCCGGTTATTCCGGAAGTATAGCCTTTCGCTTCCTATAAAGCTCGAGCATAGGCCTCTGCGTGAAGTTTGAACACCTCCGTCAAATGCTACGCCAGTACAATCTTTCGTCTCTGGTTCTGTCAGCCACGATCCAATCCTCATGGCTTCCGTCAGAACTTAAACCCGGGAGAATCGACACGCCCTGTCTCGCGGTTGGAAGCGCTGCGCCGGGAGCTCATTAAGGCAAAGCGCACTTCGCGGACACAAGGCCGCGAGTCGCACACTACCTCCAGCACGGTGGACCGTTGCTGCGAGGATTCCGGTGCAAGCGATCCTCTCGACATCGAAGGCACTGAGAGCGACGACGGTCAGTGGAAAGCAGACATTGACCCTCAGAATATACCCGCCCTAGCTTCTGCGCTTTGGGAGTACGTTTAATGTTCCTGTCAATGCCTGGGTGCTATGACACCTGCTGACGTTTTTTTTTTTCTCTTTCCTAGTCTTAAAAGAAGAGTCGAGTAAGAATCCTTTCCCTACATTGGTCACTATGCTGTCTTCCAAAGACGTTGCTGTGTGCTTCCACGGTCTACGTTTCTGTGACTCTTCGCTATATTCGGAGCCATGCTGACTGTTATATCAGCATGCTGGAATATCGCTTCGACGATCACATATCCGATAACCATAGTATGTGCCAGGCTGTTGGCGACATATCCCACCGTTCGGCCACTGGCCCCCCGACAAAGGTAGCGCGAGCAAAGCGTCGGAAAGACGATGAACAGGCATGACAGACGGGACTGGCCATGCGAGCACGGAACCAGTAGAAATGGGAATAGGAATGCAGATGTGAGACAAACAAACAATGGATTGTGCTCCCTGTATTCAAGCTCCGAGTGCAAAGCTCGTGAGGTTTTTCGAATCGCCACCGTAAATGGAAGCCGTCTGGCCCTGGTCACGTAGGCCCTCGGATGGCCGTTCCGGAAGGAGATTTTGGCGTTCCGTGGTATGTCGTGGTGTGGTGTAGAACCTTAGCTCCCAGGATGGTATCATCTCAGATTACGAGTCGATCGGATCCTGACCAAGAATGCAGGGGATCATCCCCCTTACAGCAGCGTGGGCCGACCATTGGGCGTCCAGTCATATCCAACGTTCAACAAGCTACGAGCCATTGTGGTATCAGAAAGCGGCGCGTAGACAGATGCCCCCAGAGCCACCGGACTACCGTGCACTTCGGAGAGATGTCCGGCAATTCTATTCGATTCCATGGAAGCCAGGATGGTGTTCCTTCAAGCTCACCCTTGACGCCCTGTGAGCTGCTGGTACTCTAGCCCGATGGCCGCCTTCCAACTGCGAGTTTCTGATCGATGACCTACTGAAGCCAGACTGGTCTACACCTTTTGTAAATGTGAACTATATTCACGTCGGCGAACTAAGGGGAGATCACAGACTTCTGGCCTCCATCTTGGATGGAGCTTATAGGTACAAACCCTCTCCCGCAAGATCTCGTATACTCACTAAATTGGTGGTCTAGATATTGTTCGGCGGGAGGTGTTATTGAGATCTGGGACACCACCGTAAAGTTCCACGATCCCAATGGTGCAAGCCCACTCCACAACCTGTGGAGAGATATGGAAACAGCCTATAATATGGATGAACGGTCGCTCAATCTTCCATTCATATATTCTGAAGAGATCGAACGTCGCGGTTTTGTCAATGTGGTGGAGAAAGTTTATCATCTACCGCTCAACCTGTCAGTCCCCGGCCCAGCAACCTCGCTCGTCGCAAGTTGGGCAGATGGACCGGAGGCATACAGTAGCGAGTTGTTGGTTAGACACCTTGGAAGACGACACCTCGATATTTCTATACAGGGTGCTGCAGCACGTCAAGCCGTACGACTGGGTGTCGAAGGTTGGCTACAGATGTAGGTGACTTTCAATTCTGGAGCAAAGTTCTCTCTGACAAATGCAGTCGAGTTACATCCGGTCAGAAATAGGCCTCGCCAAAACCCACCCAAGTCTCACGGCTGAACATAAAGCATCTATTGTCCACGGACCAAGATATATGGAGAGAGGGGCCCACGTAGCCTAATCGTGGTCCCCTCAATACGTGAAAGCGCGCAATTATGAGGCCATACCCCCAATGGATGTCCCGATCAAGATCGACCAGATGGGACCGCTCGATGTTATTCCAACTATCAGCCTGCCGTGTTTCAGATTGCAGGATAGGCTAAAATGAGACGCAACGCAGAGTCAAGGCTTTGAATGTTTTATCTACAGCTTTCCCCCGGGTAACCGTATAAATTGGATTATGGTCACACCGATCGTGGCCTCTCAGGTAGCATCCTGGTGGGCATCATGGGTCATGGCTGGTTGTCCAGAAAGGACTACTTTTCGTGGGATTTGTCGATGCGTATTCCTTGGTCTTCGTAGTTGTACACGTAGCCATTTCGTTTATCGTTACATTCTAGTGTCTGAAATACCGGTTTGTGTTGACATCTGACACGCAGTTATTCGCTCGGATGAGACGTCGCTGGGGTCAGGTTTTTCCAACAGCTACATGAATTTACCATAGGCGCCTATAGCGTCGACCAATTGTATATCATCAAAGGAAGCCAGCAGGTACCGAATATCATCACAGGTGACGAGGATTTCGTAGGGTAAGAAGAAACAACGGGTCAATAGGTGGAAAAGAAGTACAGAAAGAAAGGACAGCGATAGGATTATATAGATCACCGGACTTAACATTAGGTAGCATGAAGAGATGCACATCTTAAATTTCAAAGTGCTATGTATTAACAAGACAAGGTTGACAAGTGGCTCGTTATGCTTCTCCGGGAATGCTCGTAGCCAAGCACCAACGATATCGTCTTAAACCATTGTTCAGCATGAGAATCACACGTATAATACTCAGAGGAGGGACTGACCTCGAATGCCCCGCATGGCTTCAAAAAAAAATGGTGTATTTCCCCTGGAGTCCCGTTTTGAGTTGCTCGACAAGCTAGCTTGTCTGATGCAGCCACACCGCTAGAACTCCCGAGATCTAGCTGTGCAGACACCCTCTGTGCTATCCTTGCCTTGCAGCATATCCTAGACATAGTATAGCCTCCCCGAGCCAAACAAGAAACGAAGGACGGCGTGGCCAACGGAAAATAGGTAAATGGGTCCCGCTTGAGCCAAGTCCTGCTTGCATCCGAAATCGACCTTTTATGTGCAAGGATGTACAACGGATCTGGGTTGGAAAGAACCTGCACAGTATGCGATATAGCGAGGGCTGCACGGAGACATACTTTGGCAGAATATTTGGCACTGAAAGGAAGCTCGGTCTGCGTATTCGGCATCGGAATTGAATTATCCTGGTATATGGATGAGAATGCCTGGGAGCTGTTGTTGGCAGTCGAGGCCAGGGGCTGTGCTATAGCGCTGGGGTAGTAGTCTGTATTCCATACTGCATCGCCCGACAGAGATACAGAGGCTATAGTGCTCTGACTGCAATAGGCTGGATGATTACATTGCCATGGGCTAAATATTGGGTTGTCCAGGAAGGCTTGTGACTTGTGTATTTTTATCTGGGCACTAATTCGCGTCAGACGGGAATCAATTTGCATTATTTACATACGAGGTATCACTCCTACCTAAAGAGTTTTATTCTGGAGATAGCACGTATACGTACGGCCGTGGCACCCTCAGACCAGTCATCAATGTTAAATGGTGGAGAAATCAACAGGAAGTATTTGTGACTGGGCGAGGATGATATTTATCACCGCGCAGATTTGTCCCAAAAATGATTCTGTCGATGCCTATGTCTTTTCGCTTGGCGGGAGGAACAGCGGGGTCCGACTAAATGCACACCAAGTTCCGTCTGTCTGGAACAACCAGTGGTTGCAACTCCTCGCAGAGGTGTGATGCTACGACCCTTGACAGCTTAGCGTACCAAAGCCCAAGTAAACGATCTGCGCGCCACCGTGCTATGGACCCGGACCTGGCATTGCTTAAGCCATGCCTGGCGGCTCTTAGATACTGTAAGTCTGTAATCATGATGAATTAATTTCTGCTCCGAACCAAGATTCAAGCATAACCGCCTCTACCCAGGTCTGTTGACATGTACCACGAAGGATGCGGTATATATATCGTCTACACAGCACTATACGGCCGATTGATGGGAGCAAAATAGTCAACCACCGGAGTACACTTCAGTCAGGGATAATCTCCTTCGACGTAAACGTCGGTCCGAAGTATGGGCCGACAAGGAGTTTAAGCTGTGGGCGTGTCCTATAGCACACCAGGATCTCTAAATGAGAGATGCATCCGAAGATAGTCCACCATGCTAGCGCCGTGTCCACTGGAATATACTTTCAGACAGGAATTCAAAAAAAAAAAGTTCTTTAAGTCTCCACTGGTACGGAGGACTTTTCACATGATCAGATAACTGGTGGTTTTGTGATTCGGATTATGGACCTGTGGCCTTCTGCAATCGCTCATTCAATATCTGCCACATGTATGCCAATGACGGGCTCGTGCTTTTAACTAGCTTGAATCTTTCCAGCGTACCAACAAGGCTGCTGAGCAGAGTAGGGCGCACTAAGACTTTCAGGCAGGAGGTCTCTGTTGCTCTCAGCGCTATTAATGCCACGCTAAACATACTAAACAGTGTCTCAGCTGGACTTCCTTCCATGTCCAAGGCAAAGGAAGGATGTGCAGAACAAACCTTGCACACAGCGGCCAGGATTTAGGTGACAATGGCCGTATGCATGCAGAACTCGCAGCTAAAAACTCCGTCATAGATCCAAAGAAAAGCGGACAGTACGGAAGTAATTCGGGATCTGCACGCCCGGTCGTCATGATGCGAGCCACCGGCGGGAAATAGAGCGACATCTCATGTGCGTAATACTTTGCCTTGATAAAGATGAGTCGTTCAGATGGGGTTGTCGTGTCACTTGGATTCGGGGCAAAGTCGCAGCGAGGAGCGTTCGGCCACCACTTGCACCAGCGAAGGAGATCTAGTCTATAATCGGCCGACGGAACGCACAAATGGCCATCGATTGATACAGCATTAGCGTGATTGTCCATTATTTTTTGCAACTCAACTTCCTGGCGAAAATAGCGGAATACCTCGGTGGGTGAGAGGCGAAGTCCTGAGTACCGCGAGGCCTCTGCGGGAAAAGTCCAGATATATTCCTCACAGGCGGGCAAGGGAGGTGGAAGGTTAGGCCGCCGTTCCTCTGGGGACAAGGGAAAATGGGCGCGAATTTCACTGGTCGACTTAATTACAGCGCAAAGCGACAGTGGTTTATATAGAGGTGTGGAACGCACCTTTGAATCAAGAAAATAACCCAATACAACTGATGGATCAGCCTCCACTCATTTCGGTCCTTTTCAGCGCTCTGTCTGTGGGATGGTGTCAGCTGCAATGTAACAGTCCTTCGTCGGGCTAAGGAAAGAGGGGCGATCCAGACATTCTCATAAGAGTACGGATACGGAGGGACGCAAGGCGGCTGTAAGTGTGCGTCTGTCGCGGGCGAGCTAAACAGGAATAGTAGATACTGAACAGGACCAGGCACTGCACACTAGTCACACTATCCTCCTGGAGCACTGTTGGAAGCATGGAAAGGGCGGCTTTGAGGTGGTGGGGGGCGCCACGTGGAGGTCGGTCTAATAGCAGGAAGCCTATCGAGACGACGAGGAGCGATAGGCAAGAATCAGTCGACGAAGGGGTGAAGCCACGCGCTATCGCTTCTCTGAATTTATCCGTGAAAGTAGCGTGAAGCGCTGGGTACCAAATGTGTACTCGGTCGTGAAAAATGCGCAATACCCTGCTGTCATAATTAGTTGACAAAAATGTTCCTGACATCGGAAGTGGACCGCACAATGTCGAAGTAGTCTCTGGTATGTCAAGCGGCATGTAGTCCCCGCCAGTCTCAGGTGGAGATTCAGAACACTCCTCCATCTGATATAACCGCGACGACAGATCTGGACTCAGACCGACCATCTGCATTAGAATGGGAGACTTAAGATTAATATCTGTAATGCCGCAGGCCCGGAGGGGCGTACGGGTATATGACTCTGGTATAAATCGGTTGGAGGGGCGTACTGTATCCACAACCGCCGTTATATGATCCAGCCGTTCCCTGATGCTGATGAGTTCCTGGACCAGCCTACTAAATTAGTCCATAGTGAGGCATTGATGATTTTAGAGGAAAAGTGGACAAACTGTGGACAAACTCACGGAGAAGGCGGAGCATCAGAAGCACGTTGCCTATACGTGCACTGGAGGTTCCGTTGGGCGCAAGGCGAACACAATGGACGGCCTCTATCACATTTCCGCCTCCGATCTCGGCACTGCTCGCAGGCAGATATGATTGTTCGAGAAGTGTTCATAGAGATAGCCGTGTAATGTGAGTAGGGCCGTTCGCGTCGGTCATAGATATCAAGTGGATGTCCACGGGTCTTACAGTCCTCGCCAGGAAAAGGAACACGGAAACGAAGAAATGGTTGTCTCCCTTTGGTTGGACATATCTCCAAGCGAATATGGGCGGCCGAAGTGCCGTTCCGATCTGAGTAATACATTCTCCGCGAAGGGTGGGTGCAAGCAGCCAGGTCAACCTAGTGTCGCGGAGCGTACCCACTTTGTCCGCGACCGTTCTGTGGTTCCATCATATCGCACTAGCTCGCGCCATGCGAGCGCCATTTTGTCTTCAACCTTAGCAATCCTAGTCCCTATGCGTCTCCACGGGCGTCTTGGCGTGCGGGACCCTGCCCAGAACCCAGGCGTCGGTGCAGGGGTCGTGGTGGGTATGAGCCAAATCCGTTAACGCTTTAAATGGTATAGATCGCTTGATGCGCGAGGACTTCCCTACGTTCGTGGTTCGTTGATCGTGGAAGACAAAAGTATATCTTTTCTCATGGACGCTTTGGATCGCATGGCCCGTATGACCCCATCAAGGCGATCCATCAATGGGCGAGATATTCACCGGCCGGTTGATAGCCCTGAGGCGCTCGTCCTCAAAGCGTGGGCGCAAGGCCTTATGGTAGGGGCCTTGTTTGTTATGACCGCCGTTACCTACGCAAACATGCGGGCCAGTGTTATGCATAAGTTGATTATATTGGAAGTAGTCTGCAATCTACGCTGTCGTTCTATCTCTACTTTGAATGAGGCTAACTCATTAGCGTAGCTATTGCTAGCACTCCCCCATGGGGCGTTTGCCTTCGTCCCAGAACCTGCCTACGGCCGGTATCTGCTTGTCACAGCTGTTGGGCTGATCATTTCCTGGTCATTGCATAATGTCATCGCTTGGATGAAGGGAAGCACTCTTCAGGTATGCCACCGGCTTCTCACCCCACGTAGTATTGTCTACACCTGAAAGCTTGAAAAGAATTGACCATAGGCCTCAGAGACCCTGGTGGATCTACACTGCCTGCAATATCTTCTGGGTCATCAAGAGACACTACAGTTTTGGGGCCATTGAGCTCATCCGGGGGGCCCCACGATTCGGCCTCATGCCCATATCAATCTGCTTGTCAATTGTGTTTATGTTACTCGATCTATCAGCTGTGACAGACGTGATCCGAGGTGCGGTTGACCGGGGAATAAATCCTTTCTGGAAGGTGAGCTGGCGGACTTCGATTCCCGTGTCACATACAGTGCATTAATCGAGCTAGCTATGTCTTGTGTTCAAGTGTCTCTGCGACATGATCATTCTGGATGATTTCAAGACTGCTCTTGACAAGCTCAGTGCGTGATGGCGGTCGCGGCAAGGGGTGGCGCAATGCCTCTCCCCAGGTAGGTCGTTCATGATCTGAAGTCTTTCACCGGCCGATCTAACAGTCTGGCCACCTAGATTGTCAACCCCATTCTACCGTGTACAACGATTCATTGTGGGACCAGTTTCCAGGGCCAAAAAGCGTAATCACCGTGGAATATCACGTGTGAAAGAACAAGATATGAGAGCCAAAGAAGTGCAATTGAACATGAAATCTGAGAGACGATTATCGGTTTTTGAAGCGTAACTTGACATGCCATTATCAAACCATGGGATGCCAGCATTCAGTGCAGCTATTCCAGCGACTCCCTGATATTGAGTTGTTTTCCAAGTCGACGTGGTTCGATATTCGATGTCGCGCCATCTATTGCCTCCGGGAGGCAACACTATATACCCAAGAGGAGCATGATCCATCTGAGAACAAAGTACCTTCCAAAGGGCCGGTGATGACCTAGCTATGGCTGGAACCAACTAGGAAAAGATATGTGTCGGCTGAGATTTCAAAATTGCGGGAAATGGCTGCGCTGTAATTCAGCGGCTGGGAGTATCCATGAAGGGAGGGACTTCGCCGCTGAACACATATCGCTTCCGTCTGATCGTGTCTGAAAGGGCCCTATGGGATTAGCTGACGGCCCTTGCATAGCTAAGTGGCGGTTAGGTGAGTACCGAAATGAGGAGAAGGGGACTGATAAATGATATCAAAGCCAAGTACACAGCCATTTGGTTGGTTGGTTGGTTGTATTCATACGCTGACCCCTCGCCTTGTCGGCGATATGCAGGCAACAACTATCGCTATCTATGTTTTCTCAAGCGGTACATGTACCACTCCATAAGAACGAACTTTGAGCCTCGTCAAGGCCTATCGTGGCCTCCATGCTGTGGTTCCCTTCCTGGCGGTCCCTTTCCTGGCGGACCCCTTGTCCCGCGGCTGCGAAACCTACCGGATACTTCTGCCAAAGCGAGCACAGCTCGAAGAGTGCTTTTTTGTGTAGATTCGCCAGAGTCGTCTGCCTTTCTCAGACGGCCCTTTCCCCCTAGCATGACCGTGACGTCGTTCTTGCTGTCCTTGGCGTGGCTCGTAGGAGTCTTGCTTCCTGTTCGGCCGCCCCTTACACAACCATTTCGGGAGCAAAGCAGGGCCTTTTCTATCCGCCGTGCGACAGGGGACGTAATTTCGCTTATCCAACCCTGAGCCCACAGACCCTGGCAAATCTGTGCGCCTTCGTATGCTGGTGCCCAATGATAACGTTTCTGTTTCGGCTCGCTGTGCAGCCCACGTCTCGGGCAACTGGAGAATTCCACTACGCATAACCGATGTGGACGGATGCATCTTTTGACGAATGGGGATGTGCGTGTCGGCTAAGAGCGTAATCTCTATGGGACTTTCTAGGTTCCTTCTACGTGCCTGTCCGAATGGTAACGCAAATGTATCCCCTACCATACTTCCCTACCATTGGATAAGAAACAACGGTACGCGTGGTGCTCCCTGGAAGCCGTAATGGCGGCTGATTCTAGTCCTGCAGGATCTACAATGGCATACGCTTACGGGCTGTATTTACGGAAATGTGGGTAATAGGCCCTGGGGCAAAATGGAGCGGGTGCTCCATTTCAGAAAGCGGCAATAGAGTGTGCGAGACAATAAAGTATGTCTTAATCTTTCCCCAACCCCTTTGGCTGGTGATGCAGATAATTGATAGATTATTTCAGGATTAAGTCAGTTATGAGATCCCAAAACATTCGACGACGTCGAAATCCTCAGGCTTGTGGCGCCTGTCGGGAAAGAAGTGATGGACAACGTCCGAAGTGCTCCTCTTGCCGAGAGCGTGCGAAAGACTGCCGTTGTCCAGGGCTGCCGGACACGCTTACTACACCGTTAGTATCTCCATCCAATTTGCGAATCTTCTCTATCATCTGACCGTATGTCAGACTAGAACAAGAGTTATCAAGGGTTTGGGATCGAATAGATCAGATTAGTACTGCGTTGAGGCGGCAGTACCGAGGTGCGATAACTCACCACAGAGCCGTTGTCCTGGCGATCATGGAGACGCCCTAGATATGCTCCGAGGATTCCCATTTATGAATCTCCGGAATGAAGTGTTCATGGCACTTCTAGGTCTAGATCAGCCTTTCTCATGCCATCTTGAGCAGATAGAACGGAGCAGAGACGCCGTTGCAACTCTAACTGCAGAGGTCTCCGGACTGCTCATTTCTCATAAGCATGCCTTTCAGTAAGTGTGTGCGTTTCGCTCTTCATGCGGTCTTGAACATCATATTAAGCGTGTCCTCGTCATAGCTTGTTAGATAAAATTACCGAGCACACATGCCTGGTGCCCAGTGCTCCACGACCATTTTACTGTTTAGTTTGTCCATGCCATTACCAGCGGCTTTTCAACATCGATCGAATCCTGCCATGTGCTTCTGGGTTCAGCCATCTGGAGTTTGTTTGTGGAGGATGCCTCGTCACTGCAGCTAAGGGAATGGGCCGAAAACTTATATATGGGAGCGGTTATGGGAATGCTCCATTGCATAGTAACGCGCGATGGCGACATCCGGCGCATACGATGCCTTTAGCTCCCCAGCATTTACTTCCTATGCTGCGTTGAACCATATCGAGCCCACCACTTTGTGTCCATAGCCTCTTATCATCTACGGGATATTCTGAGCATGTAAGTGCCTAGAAGTAATCCCTCCCCGGCAAATCCGCTAACATTATGTGGATGGTACCTGTAGCACTTGCGATTGGGAGAAGAAGCAACCAAGTATCGTCGGAATCTGCTACTAGGTTTCGTTGCTAATTGAAAGGTCTGATGTCCTTCCCAACTAACTATAACCATTGCTATCCATCTCCTAGCGAGATCCTAGTTCAACTGGAGCTGGAGAATAGTGGCATTTGGGATTTGAGTCCCACCGCTTTGATGCCGACCAGTTGTGGCACCTGAGTAGTGCCCCCGTGATCTTTCAACGATAAAAATACCTTCATCTACTAGATTGAATAATGGAAGGAATGACGTATTGGACAAGTTGGCTTTGGCCGACTTGTCTTACTTCGTTGCCGAAATTGCCATGTGGAAGATGCTCCACGGGGTGCACTCTGTCGGTGAGGAAGATTCCGAACGGTGGGTGGTTTTGAGTATGCACCCATCATTGCTGCCGAATTGGAGCGACAACTAGCAGAATGGCACAATATTCTCCCAAAACAATTTCAATTCCTCGGCAAGGATCTAGAAGCCAGCTCAGTCTGGGGATCACCCCAGGTACAATTCTCTACCGCTCAGTACTACGCTTTTAGAACGTCGGTATATTGGCCGGCCGTCTACCAGGCATTTTCTAGTGGGAAGGTAGATAATGCCCTACTCGCTCAATGGCGTTGGTTCTTTGAAAGTTACTCCGCTTTTATTGGCAGTGCGGGACGTGCAGTATACACCTGCAGGCCGAACCTCTGGACCTTGTGCCCCAAGGTACGTTCAACAACGATTGACACTAATCAATACGCAGGGAAGATTAAGCTAGCCCTATATTATACACTGCCGGTAGCGTATTCATACTCTCCATGGCAGCCATAGTGACCTCCAGAACCCCATGCCTCGACAGTTTGGTATCGTCTGCACTCTTCCCGTGCTTTCAAACGGCGACCCGAATCTTTGACAATGTGCGCCACTTAAGCCCTTCTTTGACTGAACTTGAACTGATTTTGGCGGAGCGAATTTCCTGGTGGCTATCATACATCGGATAGACAAGGAGTCCAGGGAGAACGCGGGTTTCACACATTTCGAACAAGGATATTACGTCTAGAGCACCGGAAACCACGCGCATATTTTCATCTTCTCATTGCTGTTCGCAGCTGATTATTTAGCCCGGAAGGATTACCTTGTCCAATTGGTATCCGGCACGGCCGAAGAGCCGAATATCTCGTGTGGACTCGTCTTCGTGATATGCCCAGAGCCGTTAAAGAAATTACGAAATCAGTGCTTTCGCGGCCACTCGGCTATCGAGGTTTTCTCGATTATTCAACAGATGTACTTGTTTTTACGTGCATCACACCTCCGCGGGGTATATGACGTCTGTTGCTATATAAGTGGCATACACCAGGACCGGAAATCTTCCCCCACCCACCCCTTTCCCCCCTCTCTGTGTGAATACCATTTGGAAGAAACAGATCGTCTACAACTTCTCCGATTGCTACTTTCCTCCCATAGGCCAAACCAAGCAAACATTATCGTAGACACACGCCACACAATCAGAAATACCTACTCTCCTCACCGGCCCCACGGAGAGTTCTGATCAACGCAACGTCCGGGAATCCTGAGGTATAGATTCTTCTCAGATGTTTGAATTGAATGCCACCCCACGAGCCCCGCTATTCTCTTCGTGCTTCTCAGTCACATAGTCCTCGCTGTCCTTCACCGAACCTGCTTCTCTCATCTGCATAAAGGTGATACTTGGGGTCCAACCTACACTCTTCCGTGCGTCCGTGACTTCGCTATAGAGCTCATCTACCTCCCTCTAGTGTCAATCCCTTGGTCTCATAGATCATGAAGTAGACAAAGACTATGCAGAGGAAACAGCAGCCGGACCAAACGAAAAAGATTTTCGGCTGCAGATTTGCGTTTCCTGGGCCGTAGTTGACCAGGTAGGGCGTGGCGTACCCCAATGCCCAATTGACGATCCAGTTAGTCGCGGTAGTCATGGAGAGAGATTTGGCTCTAGTTTTGAGGGGGAAAATCTCTCCAGTAACGACCGTACGTGGACGGTCAGACATTTCTAGGGCGGGTCGAGATCGGATACTTACCACGCGACTGGACCCCACGAAGCAGCGAAGAAGAAGACGAAGAGACAGATAAATGCAATTGCCGCCTTCTGGGCTCCGGCATCACGCACGAGGATATTACCCATACTATCCTGACCTGTTGTTGTAGTTCCGAGAATAGCCACTAGTAGCTGCGCGACAAACATACCGACCGCCCCCCGTGAGTAAAACAGGACGTCGACCCTACTTGTCAATAGCATAGAGGCCTGGTATAGTCGAACCAACATTGACGCAATTGATAATCAGGTTGATCACGAATTCATTGTCGTAGCCCGAGTTCTTAAAGAGCTGGGTGCGTAGTAAATGATGAAGTTAATGCCAGTAAGCTGCTGCAGTCCTTGCAGGAGGCAGCCTGTCATAAGACGTTTTCCGATATTGCCTCGGAAATAGTCAATATAGCTGGAGCCGCCCAGGCTGATCTCATGCTCGTGATTGGCCTGGATCTCCCCCAGCTCGCTCTGGACTGCGGCATGGTCCTCGGGCAGACGACGCAGTTTGGCAAGGCTTTTTGTGGCGGCTTCCCTCTTGTCAGCCTTAATCAGGTACCGAGGGGTCTCGGGAAGGATGAGGACACCAGCGACGAGGATTATGGACCAGGCAAACTGCACCGCAATCGGAATGCGGTAGGACCCGGGATCATCCCGCATATGAGTGGCATTGTTGACCACCGAGGCCAGGAGTAGACCGATAGTAATTGCCCACTGATAGGAACCCACGATAAATCCACGAATCCATTTGGGGGCCGTCTCAGACTAGTAGAGCGGGACTGTAGTCTAGTTAGTTCCAATCGGGCTCTATGGGATATGGACATCAGACGCAAACAGCACAGACCTAAAGCGGATATAAGTCCGACCCCAAATCCTGTGAAAAATCGGCCAGCAAGGAACGGCGGAATGGATGTCGCGATGGTCTGCAATACGACGCCCACTACAAAAACGCCGTTGGACGCAATCAGTCCCCAACGGCTGCCGATGAGGTCCCCAGTGGGCGCAGCCCCTAGGGATCCAAAAAAGGTTCCTGCTGAAAGGATGGACACTATCGCAGCAGACTGGCTAGCTGTGACGTTCAGCTGACCGGTACTGTCTCGGTAGCCAGTTGAGAACGTCTGGGCCCAGTACGGCATGGCAAGGATGCCGCTGATTGTGCCGGTGTTATACCTGGAACAACGATGAATTGAAGCGATGCCTATCTGGCAGGAAATCCCATCTTACCCGAACAAAATTCCGCCGAACGCGACGAAACCACTAATCAGGATGGCCGGCCAGGTTCTGCCTTCCGTTCCAGTAGGCTTTTGCAGTAAGAACCCCATTGTGTACTATCGGTGTAGCGTAAAGCAAGGGTCCATCAAACGCTGGCAGCGACAATGGTGTCCCGTTTATTTCTTCTTTCTCCGTGTGCAAAACTGTAAAGCTTTACTGTAGATGTTGTTGGGTTTGCGATGATCGGTAATTATAGGATTTTGGCAGAACAGAACACGGTTAGCCCTTCAGGAGGCTGGTTCCCATTACGCCATCATGGCTGAATGCATAATCCCAAGCCAATCTAATGGCCAGTACTCAGATCAATAGCAATCAGGGGCAATCTAGTGTCTGATATGATGCGGGGCCGGCAGACGGACTCGGTCTCTCCGCGCTGGTGGATGTCCTAGCGGTTCCGGGGGAAGAAATGATAGTATGGATGCCCTATCACCCAAAACGAAAGTAGCCCCACGCGCCTGTTCCCCTACTTGCACAAGAGAGGTGTCCACAGTCCTTCATCCTCAGACTACACATCTGGATACCTAAGGTACTCTCTCCGGGATCGATCTTGAAGACGACGGGTTCCTCCATTTCTCCTTACTGTCCAGCGAAGAGAGGTTGCTTTATGCTCGTGAGCACTATCCGTGTCTATTCCCTCATATGAAGTATTTTGCGGTAAGCGCTACGGGGCTTTGATACGAGAAATGGGGAATGAAGGTCTGGCCAAGCACTGCAAATAACCTGCTCATTCCACTCGTGGGGGGCTGCCCATGCCACCTGAAAGAGCGCCAGTCAAACAGCTCCAGGATCGGGATTGCATACACCAGTAGGATCTGCGCCTGTGGTAAAGTGCAAACATGGCTTGCTATTGCCCCTTGATGAGAGTGCTTCCAGAACAATTTGCCGACGTACTTGTGTTCCCAAACCACCACTAATATGCGAACGGGGGTACTTCAGAGAAATTTTCCCCTGGTAGGTAGCTCTAGGTGCGTGCGAGACTTTCTTAGGCGGTTATGGAAGAAGCTAGATTCGCTGATCGACCGACTTTGGACAGGTGTGGTCAGTGTTGTATGGGGCACCCCAGGAAATGGGCTTCTCGGGCACGGAAGTAAAGAAAGGTCCAACGCGAGCCGCAGGATCTTCGGGGTTGTCTCAGGATCAGGAACCCTGCCACATGTGATCACCACAGCCATATGTTACGGACCGAAGGGCTCGGACCTCCAGTAGAGACACCACCGTTGCCCGTTACGTGCCAAGAGGTTGGAAAGGCTGTCTTTCGTCCCATGTCCAGGCTGAAACCGCAACACCACATCGGCCCGTCAAATATTATTGATACGGCCATTCCGTGCCCTGCGTGATGAAGGGAAAGGGCCTGCTGAGGACCGCTCGCGGAGGCCCCGCCCTTCTCCGCGGTCCCAGACTGATCTTCCTGGGTTACAACTAGACCCCGAGTCAAGGATCATCCGGGATTGACTCTCCCGTCATACTCTCCCCCATGGCCTCGGTTGCTCAGATCGGGCTGGGTCTTGTGATATCCCCGGTTCGGCAGGGATTACGTACGCCCTCTGAGGTCGCGGCCTCAACTCCATGGTCCGCACGCGGAAGAATGCGATGAGCTTGATCTAACGGAACAGCCTGCCCGTTGCAAATGGTTTCCGAGAATATAACATCGACCGCACATGGAATGTTGCCAAAGGCTTCTTGATAACAAAAATTTACACTCAAACTTACAAGCGAATATCCGATTTTCTGAGTTGTTCTATTTGTTACCTGCTCAGAGCGCAGAGCGAGAAGCATTGGAAGCAGAAGCAGCAAGAGACGAAGTGAATACGTCAAGGGAGATTTCCGAGAAGGAAGATTTAGGAGACATCATTCACAAGCCCCAGACGTAATCAACCATTGAGGGAAAGGAAGAACCTGCCGGTTGGTACTCCATGAAAGGAACCATAGGGTTGCTTGGTCACGTTCAACAACAATCGACTTGGACGATTTGTTCCCGGCCCTCCTTGGACTGTGCTCATGCCTTTTTAAGGCCTCATTAGTTCATGATTAGAATCTTCTAATCCCTTCGCATCTTGGAATAGGTTAAACTTGAGTCTGGCAATGATACATTATTTGACATGGCAATATACGTAGTGGCTATCTGGCGCCGGCAGGATCCGGACGGCCCGATCTTGCTTATACCAGCAAATGGAAAAAGAGAAATAGTCAACTAGTCAAGACCAATGGCTATAGATGTGGAAACGGAACTGCGTTTTTACATATATACTTTATATCCATAGACGTCTTGGATACTGAAAGTCAAAGGGTGAAGATAGAGTAGGCCGAATTCAAGACTAAACAGCACAGATTCACAACGGTTGTACTCAGCAAAGCGCACTGGCGGTGACAAGGGAAATCATGTGGCTCCAACTTTAGTTGAGTGAAATGCCGCGCACCTCGACAGAGTACAAATCTGCCGTTCCCTCAGTTACCTCCAAGGAGAGTCCGTCAGAGGTCTCGCTGGGAAAGATCAGGTCTGAAATCACAACCTCTCCTTCCCCGCCAAAGACCTCCACCGAGCAAGTGTCGACTAGAACGCGGAGATGAATTACCCCAGAACCATCTGGTTTCAGGGAAACGCTGTGGACTCCCCCTGCAGCGGGGTCGTAGGAGACGTCTCCACTCGCTGTTCGGTCAACAGATAGCGACGAATTTGTCTGGGCATACTGGATAATTGTCTGTTCCGAGTCGGCCTTGCGCACTGCCAGCGAGAGTTTGGCACCATCGCTAACGGTGAAGGCAAGTTTTATATCTAACGCGGTTCCATGGATGGATGACAGCAATGCTTGGCCCGGGGTAATTGTTTGATTCTGGATTGTTGCTAGCGGGGAACCAACTGGGGCGAGCTCAGTGACAGGCTGCTGGAGGAAGTATCGCTTAGAGGCTGTTTCCTTAAGAATGAGAGTCCGAGGGAAAGACAACATCCCTTTCCAAGTATTGGTCGGTGGGTTGGCACCATAGCTGTTCATGACAGATGCAAGGATCCGCCGCCCATCTGCAGCAGGGACGTTTTCCCAACTCAAGGCGCCATCAAAATCGCGGCCATAGTCGAGCCAAAGAGTAGAGGGGTCGACAGGGTCAGCCTTGAATGTTGACCCGTCAAAGGAACCTGTCAGGGCTAGAACACCATTACCACCAGCAGGAGATCCCTGTGCAGGGGTGATAATCAACACCCAAGTGGTTTCGTCGGTGCCCTCAATCGGGAGCTGAAACATATCGGGCACTTCCCACCCAGTGATTCCAGAAGGTAGGCCCTCAATCTGGCTAGCAGAGAGGTCGCTCTTCCACGTCCAGGTCTTTGCATCCGACGATGTCCAAAACGTGAGCTTGTCCTGCCCACCATGGGCAAGGACCATAACCCATTTTCCAGATGGCTGGTGAAAAAAGACCTTGGGGTCCCGGGTCTCCAGTCCCCCTGTCACATCATGCGGTGACTCCTGGGCAGCTGAGATAATAGGATTGCCTTGGAACTTGGTCCAGGTCACACCATCATCAACGCTAAAGGCAAGGCGCTGGTCCTGGGTCCCGTTGGAAGGAAAATACCCGGTGTAGTAGGCCAGATAGGGTGGGCTGGTAGAAGATCCCAGACCAGAGATGTTGTCAGCATCAAAATAGCTAGTGCCGGTGAATGCTTCGACGCCATTCTCGCTTGTTATAGCCAGGGGCTCGTGAGTCCAGTGGACCAGGTCACTACTAGTTGCGTGACCCCAGTTCAGATTGCCCCAGACATTTGCCGTTGGGTTATGCTGGTAGAACAGGTGCCAAGTTGACTTGATCTTAATCAACCCGTTGGGCTCGTTCATCCAGTTCTTCTCAGGGACGAAATGGTAGACTGGGCGGAAATCCTCCGCCCAAACGTGAGTGGCAAGTGCGAATGCGAGGGCGAGGAGCATGGTTGCTGCAATGATTCAAGGTAATCATAAAGTGGAACGTCGGAGTGTGCTGATATCCATCCTCAGCTCGGACGGCAAAGGTAATTTATACCCTGATGATGCCCTCAAGATCGCCAGTTACGATGTCGTCATTCTTCACGCAACCAGGCCAGGGGCACTCCAACTTTTAGTGTTCCTCAGATAGAGTAACTACTAGAAATCTCTGCAATTTCACCTACGTATTACCCCTGCATATTACCCCCGCATGTTACCCCTGCCTATTTTCTCTAGGGAACCAGACGGAAAGCATCTCGGGGCACCGCGGACCGTTGAGTCTAGTCCCCGATGACTCCGACGCTCACAATGATAACTTGAGGGGTATTATTGTGGGGAAAACGCCCCGGCTTGTGGATTCGGATATCCCATACTGCCCTCGGGATTGTCGCGACCCTCCGCGACGGTGGGACCGGGCAGTTGCGTGTTTCATCTTCTGCGGTGTCCACTCCTGTCTCCGCAAAAGAAAGTGTCTGCAAAACGCCCAAGCGAGGTTTAAGGAAGCCTGTCACGAAGTTTGTCAACCACGGCTCTCGGAACAGGCCCCTTCCCCAGAAGTTGAGCGTCAGCTTCGAACCTGGGGCTGACTGGATGCCTTCGGAAGCGCGCCACCGTAGTCACATGCCGACGGTCCAGTGAAAAGCCTACCAGTGGACTACCAGTCATACCGAAAGTCCAAGAGAGGACTAGACAAGAGCAAGTATTCAAGTAATATGTATGGTATGGACACTCCTGACCAAAACTATTAGTATCTAAGAGCAACTAACGTAATTCCCGGGCGTTCCGTAGTTCCCGGGCAATCCGTAGAAAGCCCAAAATTTTCGACGCGTTACCACCTACCAATTTCAAGCACCCACCATGCCACGAAAAACGCGTAAAACGAAGCAAGAATTAATAGAGCAAGAGGGCAGGATCCAATGTGCTATTCGAGACTTAAAAGATAGAAAAACTCAAAGTACTGAGCAAGCTATATGCGTTTATAATCTACCTGCCTTAACATTCCGTGATTGGCTGAAGGGCCACAAATTTCAAGGAGAACGCCGCAACCACATGCACAGACTATCTCTATATCAAGAAGAGACCTTAGTAGCTTGGATAGTATCGCTTGATATACGTGGCGCCCCTCCCAGGCAGTTCCAGATACGAGAAATGGCTCAGATTCTTCTAAATTCTGAGAGCCCTACTTTATCTAAAGTAATCAGAAAGAACTGGGTTATAGAGTTTACTAAATACTGGCCAGAGATTAAAAGCAGATTTACTAGGAAGATTAATCACAAGAGAGCAATGTATAAAGATTCAAAGATTATTAATTCATAGTTTAATGAGCTACGAGAAACCCAAGATCAGTGAGAAATCCAGAATAAAGATATCTATAACTTTAATGAAACTGGCTTTGCTATGGGACTTATTACAACCACTAAGGTGGTTTCTAGAGCTGAAATGCTTGGTAAGCCATGGCTGATACAGCCAGGAAATCAGGAATGGGTTACTACTATCGAATATATTAATTCGAGGAAATGGTCAGTACCTACCACTATCATTTTCAAGGGAAGGGTTCATATAGAGGGGTGGTTTGATAAAACAAGTATCCCTAGTAACTGGAGAATCAAATTAAGTGCCAATAGATGGACTACTGATAAGATTAGCCTTCGCTGGCTTCAAAAAGTCTTTATTCCAGCTACAAATAAGCGTACAACAGGGGGATATCAACTGCTATAGCGTTCTGGACAGCCATGGAAGCCACCTTACACCAGAATTTGACTATACCTACAAGAAAAACAATATTATCTCTATTTACATGCCTGCTCATTCATCTTACCTTCTGCAGCCTCTTGATGTTGGTTGCTTTGGCCCTTTAAAAAAGGCATACAGCAAGCTTATAGAGCAGAAAGGGCGCTTGGGATATAACCATATTGATAAGCTGGATTTCTTGAAGGCATATCCAGCAGCTCAAGAAATGGTGTTCACGAAGGAGAATATTCAAAGCGGATTCAGAGCAACTGGATTAGTTCCCTTTAATCTATATGCTGTGCTGGAAAAGTTGAATATCAGGCTTTCAACACCTACCCCCCCATTGAGCAGAGAAGGTACTTTAATCCCTTCCTCCCAGCTCTATACGCCTTATACAGTCCGCCAAGTATATCAAAAGACTTCCTTAATTACGAAACTTCTAAAGAAAGGGTCTACAAGTCCTTTATCTTCCTCTAAACGAGCACTAGATAAATTTATAAAGAGATATAAGTTAGTTATCTATAATGCTAGCGTGCTAGCACAGGAAAACTCCGATCTCTGAACAGCCATTAAGAATAAAAGACAAAAAAAGAGCTATTCTAAACACTAAATAACTTCTATAACTGGCCTGTTAGTTCAAGAAGCTAAAGACCTTATATTGTTGAGAAATGATCAATTAGAGGCATGTGGTGATGATTCTGGGCCACCTGGCAATTCTACTTGTCAAACTTTGGATAGACCAAAACATGCTCCACCAACATGTTCAGACTGTCATGTTAAAGGGCATACTAGAACTAGATGTCCTAATCATCAGAATATTTAGTTTATTTAATTTAAATTGCTTTTGGTTGTTGTAAAGAGCTTTAAACTTGAGCAAGCACGAGTTCTTGGTTGAAAACTACAGATTGCCTGGGAACTACGGAACGCCCGGGAATTACGTTATCCAGCTACACTTAGTTAATCAGCCACTGCCTTACTAACTAATTGACTTAAGGCTGGCCCTGCGTCTTCGGTCTGAGTTCAACCCGACCACGACTTGTGTCAAGGTCACCTTCGGAGTTCAAGTTGGACTTCGGCCAGGATGCTAGTCCAAACAAGGCGTAACGGACATCACGCGGTTGGGAGAGATGTTCTGGGGAGCGGCGTGTCTCGGCAATGTGCGCCTTGAAGTGGGGTGCATCTTGAATTGAGCTCTTCAATAAACCCGTTCTACTGGCAGACTGTTCCCTAGGAATCGCGGAGACTAGGGTATCCTCCGCGACAGGCGACAACCAATCACAGGGATCACCACCTCCAACGACGGGATCCGAGTGTGATGGGGTTTGGTTGAGGCATGGAGCTGAGATCCCACTTATCTGCCAATGAGAACTGAAGGCAGATCACAGTACTATGTCGGAGAGTTATTTATGGTGAATGGTTTAAGCTGCTGCCGGAAAGCTGAGCCGCCCCGCTTTTACTCTTCAAATCCATCTAGACGAGATGCCAACATAGCAGAGTAGGACTGGAGATACTGCTAATTATCCAACTTCACTCTTCTACTAAAATATCATTGTCACTCTGCTTAACTCTGGAAACAATTCACTGAAAAAAGTGGCAAGCATAGAAAATGTGTTACGTTCTCACGCAAATATTCCTAACATATGCCACCCCACAGCCATGCTATTCCTGCAATGCCTCGCGCGGTAGCCCCAGTACGCAAAGAGACCTTGCTCGTTTTAGCTCCTTCATGGTAAGATTCCTGAATGTCGACAGGGAACCTCATTTACGGCTCGTCCAGTCTTGGCAAGCGGGGTTTCTTTGCACCTCCGACTTTCCTCGCCGGCGTGGAGATCGAGTGGTCCGTTAGGCTCGATCGACACACGAAGTTTCACCTCGCCGACCAAGCTAAATAATGAACGGATAGAGATCGACATTTCTGAGAGGCCTCCCAGCACTTCTCCGCGATTCGAGGTGTATTCCCGGTGGCCAAGTGTCTGAAGAGGGATCAACGGGTACTGAGTCTCGACAGTAGTAACTACGACTTCGGATGGTAACCTAGAGATATATATATATAAAACCCCTTGACAGCGGTCTCTCACGGGATTATTTTCAACCAGTCTTTCATCAATTTCCTTACGAGTTCTTGCTTACTATTATGCTACCCTCCGCTCGTTATGCCCTGGCCTTGGGACTCTGCGCATTTGGTGCTGTGTCTGCTCAGAGCTATACCGAGCTCTATCGCCCACAGTATCATTTTACCCCGGCCAAAAACTGGATGAATGATCCGAATGGCCTGATCTATCACAATGATATCTACCACTTGTTTTATCAATACAACCCAGGCGGAGCGACCTGGGGAGCCATGTCCTGGGGCCATGCCACCAGCAAGGATTTGATTCACTGGGAACACCAGCCAGTGGCGCTCCTTGCTCGTGGCTACCCTGATGCCATTACGGAGATGTTCTTTTCCGGAACAGCAGTTGCGGATGTTGACAACACCAGTGGCTTCGGTACCAATGGCTCAACTCCTCTCGTGGCCATGTATACGTCCTATGTGGGCAGAAATCTGTAACACATGAAACGAAACATACTGACCAATATGACTTAGTATCCCCAAGAACAAGTGTTGCCAAGCGGAAAGTCAGTAGCAGCAAACCAACAAGCGCAGTCCATTGCGTACAGTGTTGACGACGGCATGACATGGAATACATATGATGCTGGAAACCCCGTAATCGCGGAACTTCCTGCTGAATACGCAGACCAGATCCTCGAGTTCCGTGACCCTAGTGTGTTCTGGCATCAATCTAGCGGGAAGTGGGTTGCAGTGGTTTCTCTGGCAAAGCTCCATAAACTGCTTTTTTATACCTCTACCGACCTCAAAACATGGAAGTATGTTAGTGAATTTGGCCCTGCAAATGCTGTTGGTGGTGTATGGGAATGCCCCAGCATCTTTCCGCTTCCCCTGGATGGAGACGACCAGAATTTGAAATGGGTTGCTCAAATTGGCCTTAATCCTGGAGGACCACCTGGCGTTACTGGCTCAGGGACTCAATATATTGTGGGTTCCTTCGATGGAACAAGCTTCACTGCGGACCCTGAGAGCGTGCAGCAAACAAACTGGTTGGACTATGGTCCGGATTTTTATGCAGCTCTTAGCTTCTCCGGGCTCCCCACCAACGATCGTGTCGATATTGCCTGGATGAATAACTGGCAGTATGCCGCCGCTATTCCTACTGATCCCTGGCGAAGCAGCCTGACCGTGCCTCGGAAACTGTCGCTCGCCACCATCAATGGGACCGCAACTGTCGTGCAGCAGCCAATCGTACAGGAACAGAACAGCATTCCTAGGCGATGGAGTTCCATACCAGCGGGTATCACCAAACTGAATGCGACGGGGAAAGCGATTGACGCCACCTTGAGTTTTTCCAGGTCAACAGCAACCCAGTTTGGCCTTGTTTTTCGGGCCTCGGCAGACATGAGTGAACAGACCAGTATCGGCTACGACTTCACCACTGAGCAGCTCTTTGTCAATCGGACGCAGTCCGGAGAGACTGGTTTTGATGGCTCTTTCCCGAGTGTCTATTACGCACCGCTGCACTCAAGTGATGGTAATATCACACTGCGTGCTCTTGTTGACTGGTCCTCTGTCGAGGTCTTTGGAGGTGTTGGGGAAGTTTCGTTGACTGCTCAGATATTCCCCAGCGATGATTCTGTTGACACCTACCTTTTCTCCACAGGCGGGAGTACTAGTGGAGTTGAACTTAGGGTGCAACAGGCTCAGTCTGTCTGGAACTAAGAGAGTGATTAGCTCCAGATGAGAGAATAAGTGGCTATCGAAATGTAATATGTAGTTTTGGGTGCGGTCAAGGATTTATGTAACAAAATTCAAGAAAACAAATGGGTTCTCTTGACATGGTACGCAGGATATAATATTGCGATTTGATACTAGCGCTAGAAACGCCGTCCTTTTAGAGCCAGACAGGTTCCACTACATTTAATCCACAGAGCCAATATTAGTTACCTTAATTGCCTTGGTAGAGCGTGGGTATTTGCAGGGGCAGGGTGTGCCCAGCTGACATCAACCATGCGGGAAAGTTACTGAAAGTGAGAGTACGCAGATGTGAATAGACGCTATCGTGTGGGTACGAAGTAGCGCATAAGTATAACCTTGAGAATTAAATCATGCCGGAACTCGACAGTAGAATTGACGCGGTTCTGCCATCCCCAAACGGAGTTACAACTGCCTTGGCATGGGGATATGGGCCTCGTTTGACCTTCCGACACCGGGGACAGATCAACACACGGTAGGACACTTCTCTCCGGGTGACATGTTTTCGATGCTGCGGGCCTAAACCTGACTAAATCTAGGCCAACGTTATGACTGCCGCAGGCCAATCCAACCCCATATCTTAGAGTATTTAAGTCAATTGGGACCTAATTGATTTGCTAGAGCCGAATCAACGAGTCTCTGATCACATCTCAAGTTTTCCGTTGCCTCTTCTAACACTCATATGATGGCCGGGCCTTGACTTTCGTTTAACGGTAAGAACATGAAAGGCTGTGTACTGCAATGACCAAGTACAGGCTAATCATTTGCGTTAGTTTATGCGACCCGGAGGGAAGGCAGCCTGGGATCATTCCTCTCCAAAGATATGCTAGAGCCACTGGATGAAAAAGACTATGATGACAAGCAATCTGAGCTCGTAGTTGCACGCGCCTATAACTGAGAGATTTTACAGAGTGCCATTGACTTATTTCGGACTTTAAGGGCTATTAAACGCCTCGATGCGGTACGAAATCGTGCCATAGGTTCCTATGTAGAGGCGAATGCACGGCTAACTTCGTGGCTATAACAGGGCTGCGACTGATGGAGTCTTTGAAGCGGATCATGTTCAACCACAAAGGCCTTTCGGAGTGTCGGCGCATCCAGGCTCGGCACGACAACACTAAAAATATAAAACCGAACTGTAGCCGGTTGCTCCATGACTACGGTAAACTTGACAGTTGTTCCCCGTTTAAGACAGGCTCCGGTTCACCTTACGTAGACTAGTAGAGTCCGACTAAGTTAACTATGGCAAGCTTGGCCACGATGCGCCCTATGATCCTTCAGGTTTTCGGGGCATGCAGACCCCCATATCTTTCAATACGTTGTCGAATTAGCCACGGATTTCGGAGGCCACGAGAGGGCTAGCCATTATCAGCGGGCAGAACCATGTCTATAAGCCCTTGAGTGGAAGTATTGAAGCTGGTCTTTCAGCAATGAATGGCATGATACAACCCAAGCAAAAGCTACAGCGGACTGCCCTCCGTAGGGCCGAGAGACAAAAGAAAGCGGTTACATGTGTGGTATCATGTTCCACGGGAATGACAACATAAATATCTAGCCTAGTACTTGCCAGGTCAAAGGAGGACCTCCCGCACCTCTACCGACCCCAAGGCCACATCGCCCCCGGAGACCTCCAGAGACACACCATCAGCGAACACGTCAGGGAAGATCAAGTTCGAAATAACCGCCTCCCCTTGCCCCCCAAATACCTCAATAGAGCATGTATCAACCAAGACGCGCAGTTGTACCTCCCCGTTCGCACCAGGGTGCACAGTAGCAGTGTGGACACCACCAGCTGCGGAATCATATGAGATATTCCCACTGGTATTGCGATCAACCGAGAGTTGTTTAGAACTCTGCGCATACCTGATCAGAGTCTGTTGAGAGCCTGCCTTCCGAACAGCGAGAGAGAGCGTAGAGCCAGGGGAAGGAGTGAAGGACATTTTGATATCGAGTGTCCGGGAATGGATGTTGGAAAGCAATGATTGTCCAGGGGCAATAACTTGATTCGTGATATTTGCAACAGGCCAAGCGTACGTGTTGATCTCGTCCACGGGCAGTTGCAGGAATCGCAGCTTGTCATTAAACAATTGGAGCTCTAGTGTGCGAGGAAATGACAGCATTCCCTTCCAGGTGTCTGTTGGAGGGTGCCCACCATAACTATTCATCACGGACGCGAGAATCCTACGCCCATCCGAAGCAGGGACATTTTCCCAGATGAGGGCCCCGTCGAAGTCGCGGCCGTAATCGAGCCAGAACGTGCCGGGGTCAACGGGGTCCGCCGTAAATGCAGCACCGTTGAAAGAGCCCGTGACTGCGAAGACGCCATTGCCGCCAGCGGGGGACCCAGTAGCAGGAGTGATGATCATAACCCATTTCTTCTGCGCCGTCCCTTTGACCGGGAGTTCGAAAAAATCCGGCACTTCCCACCCGTTGATTCCGCTGGGTAAGTTTGGAACGTCATTGGCAGTGAAGTCGCTTCTCCAGGCCCAAGCTTTTGCATCGCTTGATGTCCAGAAAGTGACTTTGTTCTGGCCGCCGTGTGCGAGAATCATTACCCATCTGCTCGACGGAGTATGGTAGAAGACTTTCGGATCCCGGATTTCCAGACCCCTGGTGATATCATGGGGCTCTTCCTGGGTTTTCGAGACTATCGGATTGCCTGGGTATTTGATCCATGTAACTCCCTGGTCGACACTATATGCCAACCGTTGATCCTGCACTCCGGTCGAGGGGAAGTAACCGGTATAGAACGCGAGATATGGCGGGTTTGATAACGATCCCAGTCCCGAAAGATTTTGTGGGTCGAAATACGAGGTCCCAGTGAATGCTTGTATTCCATCCGCGCTGGAGATTGCAACTGGTTTGTGAGTCCAGGATACCAGATCAGTGCTCGTTGCATGGCCCCAACTTAGGTTACCCCAGAAGTTTCCGGTTGGATTATGCTGGTAGAATAAGTGCCATGTGGGCCCGATTTTGATAAGACCGTTGGGTTCATTCATCCAATTTTGCTCTGGCACGAAGTGGAAAGCAGGGCGGAAGTCGACGGGAACAGTAGCGGACGGGCGGACGGTAGTGCTTGTGCTTGTGGCAGTCACACTTAGTGTCGTAATTACTGTTGTGCTGGGAGTTGTGCTGGTTGTACTGGTCATACTGCTGGTCGGCGGATCGAAAGCGGACCCCAGAAGCTTTGCATTGATCGTGATCCCAGTTGCATTTCCCCCAGTTGAGAAAAGCCGGACATCAGTACCTGTGTCCTGAGGAAAGATCTGCGCCGATAAAGTGACCTCGCCTTGGCCGCCGAAGACTTCAGTCGAAGAAGAGTCAAGAAGGATGCGCAGAGTGACCTTGCCGTCGCTGCCAGGCGCCAGAGGCGCGTAATAAATATTGGAGAATGTCCCGTCAAAGCCAACATTCCCAGATTTGGTTCGATCAACAAACATCCTCTTCGTGCCGAAGTCGTACCCGATTCGTGTCTGCTGCGACAGGTCCGAGGTTGCTCTGAGCAATACGCCGAACTGAGCTGGAGACACCGAGTCCCGGTCAGAGAATGTCACTGTGATATCGAGGGACTTCCCCGAGAGCGGAATGGGTTGATTTCCTTCAGCCACAGTGCTCAGAGCATCGGAATACGTTCCTGTCTGTAAATTAGCCCAGTTGGCAGCAGGTTGCTGGAGGAGTGTTGGCCATCCGTTGATGGTCTTCAGTGACAGTTTCCGAGGAATCGACAACATGCTACGCCATGGAAAGGTAGGGATATTGCTCCCATATTGCCAGTTATTCATCCAGGCAATGTTCGTGCGGTCTGCAGAGGGAAGTCCATTGAATGGTGCCGCAGCATAGTAGTCAGGGCCCCAGTCCATCCAGTTGGTCCCTCGCGGCTCCGCCGATGTATCCGAGAAGGATATTTCATCCACGAGGATATGTCCCCAGCCATTCGTACTGAGATCGTTGATTTCTATGACGGCACTCTGACCAATCAGGGCTCTGACGTCCCAGCTCTTTGGCAGAAGCTGTTCGCTATCGCTGCCCGTAGCAGTGCGGACAACCTGGCCGCCGACCTTCAGGTTGATGCATTGCACCCCTGGAGCGTTCCCGCCACCAATAAGAAAGTTGATCCTTTGCTTGGTGATTGTGAAGGTGGGCGAAATCAGAGTTCCCGTCGTTGCATCGCCATTGTAGAAGGTGTTGACAAAGCCTCCCCGATACCCAGTCACAACTTGCTGTCCCGGCAGCGTGCCCTGCGCCGGGCTCTTTCCGACCAGATCTCCGGTAGCGGTCCATCCACGGCTCGCGAAAGTACTGGTCCCATTGAAGTCAAAAAGGCCATTACCACTGGGCGGTTGCTCGGTAGCGTCACCAGAAAAAGTGATCTCGTCGATTAGGACATGTCCCCAACTGCCCGTTTGCTGATCCACGATCTCAAAGACGGCAGTTTGGCCCACGTACTCAGTCACGTCCCAGGTCTGTGGCCAGAGTTTCTCCTCGTTGCGGCCTGTAGCAGTACGCACAGCTTGGCTTTGCCCTTGGATTTTCAAGTTAATGCATTCCGCGCCCGGTGCATTACCGCCGCCAATAAGGAAATTAATAAGCGGCCGAGTGATTGTGAAGGGCGGCGAGGTAAGTGTCCCGGTGGTTGAGTCTCCGTTCAAGAAAGTATTCACGAGGCGAGTTCCAGCGTATCCAGAGACGGTCTGCTGGCCGGAAAGAGTCCCCTGGACTGGTGCAGCCCCGACTAACCCCCCTGTGGCAACCCAGCCGCGAGACGCAAAGTTGGCGGTGCCTTCGAAATCTTGGAATCTAACAACCTCATCCGCTCCAGTTGTCTGGGTACCAGTACTAGTAGTCGTCGACGCGGATGTGGAGGTTGGTGACGGAGGCGGAGTGTTGGGGTCCGCAACGAATGCCGTGCCATCAAAATTGCCGACTATGTATTGTGTTCCTGAGCCGACAACTCCAGGTGGTCCGCCAGGGTTGAGTCCAATTTGCACAACCCACTTGGCCTCGCCTTCGTTTCCATCGAGGGCAAGCGGGAAGATGCTGGGACACTCCCAGACGCCCCCGACTGCGTTCATTGGGCCGAACTCGCTGGTGTAGGTCCACTCCTTCAGGTTAGGCGAAGTATAGAAGAGCAACTTGTGGAGTTGGGCTAACGAGACAACTGAGACCCATTTCTTTGTTGGCTGGTGCCAGAATACAAATGGGTCTCGGAAGTCACGCCACTGATCCTCGTACGGTGCTGGCGGGTTAAGAATGACAGGGTTAGCAGCATCGTAGGTTGTCCAAGTCATGCCTTCGTCAAGACTGTACGCAATAGATTGGGCTTGCTGTCCACCGTTGACTGACTTGCCGCTAGGTAGATTGCGTGACACAGGATACTAAGCAGAAGTTATTAGAGGGGCCTAGCATGCTAAGCTAGAAGTTCACAAGACTCACATAGGAGGTGTACATTGCCACCAAAGGAACAGTTCCATTTGTACTAAACCCACTCGTGTTCTCAGTATCGGCGACAGCAGAACCAGAAAAGAACATCTCGGAGATGTTATCTGGGTATCCACGCGCAAGCAGAGCAATGGGTTGGTGCGTCCAGTAGGTCAGATCATCACTAGTCGCATGACCCCATGACATAGCTCCCCAGGTGTTCCCTCCAGGAT